CTTCCAATCAACCTCTCTGCTATGGCCTGGGAAAGCAGTAGAAGCAGCCAAAGTTCTTGGGCCCCTGCACCCACATGGGATAACCAGAAGAAGCTCCTGGCCCCTGGCTTTGGATCGGCAAAGCTCCAGCCATTGCGGCCATCTGGGGAGTGCAACAGTGGATGGAAGACCTCTCTCTCTCTACCTCTCCTCTCTCTGTGTAACTCTGACTTAAAAGTAAATAAATAAATCTTAAAAAAAAAAAAATACTGTGATGGCTGAGGGAACTTTATATTCATCAACAAATGGACAGTGAAGCCAGCTGATGATAGGACAGCTCATGCAAACTCCCTGATTCCACTCTAGATCATTCTATGTGTATCAGACACTGCACTAATGTCTGGCTTATACTTCTAGAACTCTCAATTTCTAGTCCATATCCTATTATCAGTTCTCAAGAATAGCTTTGACAAAAAATAAACCCCAAAGCCTGAATCCCAGCTTCCCTAAATAGCTGCTTTTATTATCATTTCATTTTCTGGGGGTCCTAAAGTCCCCTTCAACCTATGTGCAGGTACCCAATATCTTAGAACAACGCTTCCCCAACATCTTAGCCAAGTAGGCTCTTCAACCCTTAGGCCTTCAGGTCACCTTCTCAGTATCAGACTTATTATTATTCTCCTTGTGACCATGAGCCCTTCACTCATCATTGAATCCCCTAATACCTAACAAGTATGAGCCATACAGCTAATGCCCAGTAAACGTCTGCTCAATGAATCAATGCATCTTAGAGCCTTGATCAATTAACACAACACGCTGAAGTAAAATAATAACCATAAAAGGAAAGAAGTAATTATATGGACAGACTACAATGAAAAATACTTGCCTGTCTTCTAATTATTTCACACCCACACAAACATCTTCACTCATTCTCGGCTATTCATCAGTAACACTCCTCTAACATCTAGGTCACTGCTCTCCAACCCCCCACAGATAGTCTGGCTGGGTGACAGGTCTCAGATGAGGAGAGATTTCAGTCTCACTTTCTGAGGTACTATACCAACTGGCATGGTAATTAGACATTAACATAAATTTCTAAGCACATACATCAATAACCCCAAAGCTACACTTCATCAGTAACAAGAAATGTAATCTAGATGAAAGTACTTTAAAAAGATCGAGAAGGGGTTGACTACTCGACTAGTGCTTAAAACACTGGTTAAGACATCTGCAATGTGTATCGAAGTGTCCAGGTTCAAGTCTTGGCTCTGCTCCTGATTACAGCTTCCTGCTAATGTAGACTCGTGGAGGTCTCAGGTGATGGCTAAGTATTTGGGTCTCTACAATCATGTGGGAGACCTTTATTGAATTCCCAGGTCCCAGCAACAGTCTGGCCAATCCTGGCTGTTGCAGACATTTGGGGAGTGAACCAGTGGACAGGAGCTCTCTGCTCCCCAACCCCATCCCTCAAATAAATAGTTTTTAAATCATCCTCAAAAAGTTCATAGAAAACAAAATTAAAAGATGTTTATTTCGTCACAAAAAAATTTGAATTCTATGTATATGAGTATGTGCAAGTCAAAGATACCTGGAATCACGATTAAGGGCAGAATGTTGTCAAGATCTTAGAGAAAGAGAGAAGGCATCTCTTTAAATAGTAAGTTTATAAAAAGAGAAAAAAAACAAACAAACAAGCAAAAAACCCTGAAGAGACCTCTAGGTGACTGAGAAAATAAAAAGCATTATCATTTCCGATTAGGACATGACTTTTTCAGTAGCTAAATAAAAACATTACCAAATCATTTTATGTAATAAAATTTAACCTCATTTTGACCTTCCTCATGAGGCAGGCAAATCTCTCCATCCAATAAGGTTCCACATGAACTCTGTAAGATGATAAGCAATACCTTAATTGCATTCATTTACATGACTTTGAAACTATTCTGGGCTGAAGTCATTGACTGCAAGGTCACAAAACACAAAACAGGAGAATGGATGCAATTTGTTGAGGATTGATCCACTTAGACAGTGTGGCAGCACCTTTTTCATCTCTCCTTAGGAGACACCAAAATGCTTAATGCATTCAACAGGTGTAGATATCTCTATTTGATGTCTTTTAGAAACACAAACCGTGTGTACGTGTGCGCGCGCGCGCGTGTGTGTGTGTGTGTGTGTGTAAGTTCATCATCTATTATGGCCTTCCTAATAAATTTAATCTGCCTAACAATTCTATTCCTTAACAGAATTTAAACACAAAACAGGATTATTATTTTTATTATGTCACATAATTTCTAACAACTGCAACTGAGGTTACAAAGCTAAACTTTTACGCCAAGAATTGCAAAAACAGAATGCTAAATATATTAATAGTTTCTGCTTTCATGTTTTATGATCTCAACAAGCATATGTTTCAACTAATTTGTTTAAAGGAGCATACTTCTTAAGTCTCAAATCTAATAATATCACATCACTAAAAGAAAGGAAGCACAAACAGACTGACAGAAGTTAACTGCCATGGATTACAAGAGACAATGTGTATTCTTCAAATCTCAGAATGTATCAAAATTTACAAAAATAAGTTAACTCCATAAAACATTTCCCTTCAGTAAAATGCAATTCTTACAAAAACTAGGTATTATTGACACTAGAATGTGTTGGAGAAAAGGAAACCAAGGAAAAGAATCTAAGATACTTTTTAAATGTTTATAGTATTAGTAGAAATGTAGCACCAAGTATTTGTTCTAGGTTTAAAATAACATCATGAGGAGATTCTTTTAAGAAGTTTCTGTACATTAACTCAGGTAACTCTGATAGTTAATTTACTACTCAAGCACTTTTATACTACACTAGTTAATTTTTTCCACTTAAAACAATTTTGTGAAAGAAGCAATGATATTTTAAAATGTATGCTTCACTTTCTCTCCCTACAGACAAGAATATGAATTTGTTTAATGTAAATCTATTTTACATCCCAATCATCTTGATTGGTGATACTCCACAAAGAACACAATAAATATATATACACACATATGTATATGTAAGTACTATATTCCTAAGTAAACTACAATACTGTAACATCACTTTCTCCTCTTAAGAAAAAACACTGGGGTTAGGCATAGGTTTAGCATTTAAGAGACTGATTGGGACAAGTGCACCCCATTTCTACTGCCTCTCTCTAGTAAGGACCCTACTGATTACAGTAGGTGCAACAAAGTAATCCAGGGCACTCCCCACCCACCCTGTCATTTAATCTCATCTGCTAAGTCCCATTTGCCATAAAAAATGACATATTCACAGGCTCTAGGGATTAGGGCATGGACATCTTCAGGGAGAAAATCACTCTACCAAACACAGATACTTTTAAAAAGATCAGCAAAAGACAGAGGTTGTGGTGTGATGAGTTAAACCACCGCTTGTGATGTCTGCATCCCATATGGAAATGCCTGAGATCAAATCCTGCCTCTGCTTCTGCTTCAGCTTCCTGTTAATGAACTTGTGAGGCAGCAGATAAGGACTGAAGTACTTGGGTCCCAGCCTCCTCATGAGAGACCCAGGCTGAGATCCCAGCCCCAGGCGTTAGCCTGGCCCAGCCCAGGCAGTTGTGAAAATTTGTGGGAGTGAACCAGTGGATGGCAGACCTCTGTCTGTGTCTGTTTCTTTCTCTTCGTTTCAAATAAATGTTTTGTAATTTAAAAAAAAAGAAAAGAAAATGAGGGGCTAGCATTGTGATGTACTGGGTAAAGCTACCACTTCATGCCAGCATCCCAGATGGGCACCAGTTTGTGTCCTGGCTGCTCCACTTCTGATCTAGCTCCGTGCTATAGGCCTGGGAAAGGTAGTAGAATATGGTCCAAGTGTTTTGGCCCCTGCCATCCAAATGGGAGACCCATATGGAGTTCCTGCCCCTGGCTTTGGGTGGCCCAGCCCTGGATGGTTGCAACCATCCGAGGAGTGAACCAGTGGTTACAAAACTCTGTCAATCTCTCTCTTTCTGTAACTCTGTCAAATAAATAAATCTTTAAAAAAAATTAAAAATGAGAAAACTTTCTAGATTTACTTTGGATTAGTTTAGTTAAAAATAAATGCACATATACACTCAATAAAATAGTAATTGCTATTATTACCGACATATTACGTGCAATGATCAAATCTCCTTTAAGTATTTTAATTTTCTTTCTAACTGAGTAATTCAGGGTCCCACATAAAATGTACAGTCTGTGTAACAATGTAATCGGTAATTCCCAGTTCACAACCTTTAACAAGGTTAGAGCACTTGAGGCCACTGAGAACCTGCCATTATTGTTTCCAGTGTTTTTGGTTATATTTCTGAGGTAATCAGACCTCAGCTGTTGAAAACAATCTTCTGATAAAGATGATAACTTTTTGTTTAGCTCAAATACTTCTTGCCCATCCCAGAAAATTGAATAAATGCTGTATTTTCCTACACTCATTAATAAGTTCCATTGTATTTACATAAAATTAAGATTTTTCTTCCTGTGGATAGCAGAATATACTAAAGCCAATTCGATAACTACAACCTAGTCTTTGTATATCACTAAATGGGCTATAATCTTAAGCAGAAAATGACCTATATTAATGCCATCACTCTTGTAGCTTTCAATGATGAAAGAAGTAAGCCCAAGTATAGGTTCAGATACACTTCGATCTCAGGCAACCATTGTAAATCCTATTCACAAAAACAAATAGGCATATGTGTGTCTCATTTATGTCCTTCTGCATATTATGTTTTGATATCTTAACAGTATTTCTGGCTGGGAAGAGACCCCCTCTGTGGAGTTAGTAAATTCTTAAGAGACAGCAAAGGTTCCAGACCAAGCAACCCTTTGATATGCAAACTAACCAGTCTATAATGTACTTCCTCTATCTGACCCATACACCACAGGAGACAATATCCCACTGCCCTCATCATCCTTAGGCCTAGTACCAGGCAAAATAGGGGCCACCCTGCCTATTCAAAACTATTACTATATACCTAAACTTACTATTATTCTATATTTAAGCTTATTGTTAACCACTGCCAAATCTGGATACCCTACCTGCCTTGCCTGTCCTGAAGAAAACTCCAACAAAAGTTATGGCCAGCTCCTGCCCCTTTATCTTCCTGACCAATGCTGATGCTTCCCCTTGTAGCCCCACATGGCATGCCATGCCTCTTAGGACCTGTAAGTATAATAAACTTCATTTCTCTGAACCTCTCCTCTGTCTTCTCTTGTGGTTGCACCTGACTGACCACATGAAAGAACACCAAACATTGTGTGTGTGTGTGTGTGTGTGTGTACCCACACACATGTACGTCTCTCTTTATGTTCCCTTTACTTTTCCCTCTCTTTCCCAGGCAGTCAATGAACAAAATATTACACTTTTATAAATTTATAATGATGTAGCGATAAACTGTCCATCTGCCTGAAAAAGAGATGCCCAAATAAAGACATCTACAATTCTCTATACAAAATTAAATCCTGGAATGACAGTGTTGCTCAGATAACACTCACAGAACAATGTGACTCAATCTGCAAAGAAAGGTCAAAAACAGTCCATAAAACGTGGAACACCTGCTACAGAATATGTTAATTCACGGTTCCATCTAGGAAATGTTTCTCTTCCTCCCTCACCTGTTCCCCCACCCTTCTTGCATTCAACTCCATAAACAGCAGTTATCCCCCATTATAAAACAGTTGACGGTTAAAACAATGAGCCAACCAAGAAAGTACAATATTCTATAACTGACATTTACTGCACTGGCCTTGGACTTCTAATCTTTACCAGACGGGCACACAAATCAATCCATCAGCTCATAAAGGTGTGCTTTTTTAACCTCTAAAACAGATGGGATTGGCCAGAAGTGTCTGGCATGTCAAACTGCTAATCACTGCTGCCCTTTGCACAAAATAACCCACTTAAGTTGAGGCATGGTTGCACTGTAACCGACATTAGTCTGTGGGAAACCCATTTAACTGTCACACACTCCTGCCACTCCTGCTCTCCCTTAATTAAGCCTAATGCCTTATGCTTTGACCTTTTGTTCTAGCCTATTAACCCTATCTAGTACAAGTTCAATTATGTTAAACTAAAAAACTTTGCTGGAAAATATTAAATGCCATGCTCAAAAAATTGTAAGGGACAGTCTCCCAGCCCTAAGTTCTATGCACCCTGATACTCAATGCGTTCCAAAGTGAAATCTCACTTTTCAAGTAATGCTGATTTTTTCAGAGTTATGAAGAACCAAATTATCATTCTAGTCCAACCCCCTTATTTTACCAAGGAAACTGAGGCTAGAAAACATCAAATGACTCAGCCATCTCTTTACCACAGCAAAATCACACTACAACCTGACCAATCCCTGGTTCTAATTCTTTATTCTCCAAGGTGCCTCTAATTAATAGTTAAGCCAGTAGTAGTGTATTACTGATACTAATATTTTCACCACAAATTACCTCTCACTATCCTGTAGAACTGCTATGCAGACAGGCCTAGACCAAAATACAGGGTTTCTTCAACATTGTTTAAAAGTTTTCCTTTTTCCACCCAGGCAACAAAACTCCCCATTCCCTCATTACTTTTTTTCTTTTTAAAATAATAGTCACTGAGAACTACTCAATCCTGCAACACTTGCAAAGCAATACATAAAAATACAAAAATTTTTTCTTTCCTGGTAATGTGTTAGAGACAACGACTAAAGATACAGAAACATTATAGCATGATACTTATTCACACTGGATGAATTAGCAGCTATATATCTTTTAAAATGTCTTTAATTTTTATTTATTTCGGAGGGAAGGAAAGAAAGAGAGAGCAAGCCAACACAAAGGCATCCATTGGTTCTCTCTCCAAATGCCAGTAATAGCCAAGGTGAGCCAGGCTGCAGCCAGAAGCCCGAAACTCCATCCCAGTCTCCCACATAGGTGGCAAGAGCCCAACTTCTTGAGCCATTACCAGCTGTCTCCCACTTGCATACACAACAGGAAGATACACTTGGGAGTGGAGCCAGGACTTGACCCAGGCACTGCAATACTGGATGTGGACATCCCAATTGACATCTTAAGAACTGGGCCAGGGTCGGCGCTGTGGCATAGTGGGTAAAGCTGCCCCCTGCAGTGCCGGCATCTCATATGGGTGCTAGTTCAAGTCCTGGCTGCACCACTTCCAACCCAGCTCTCTGCTGTGGCCTGGGAAAGCAGTAGAGGATGACCCAAGTCCTTGGGCCCCTATACCCGGAAGAAGCTCCTGGCTCCTGATTTCAGATCGGCACAGCTCCGGCCATTGCGACCAACTGGGCAGTGAATCAGCAGGTGGAAGACCTCTCTCTCTCAATCTCTGCCTCTCTTTCTCTTTCTGTGCAACTCTGACTTTCAAATAAATAAATAAATCTTAAAAAAAAATGAAGTAGGCCAATTCTCACCCCCAAAGTAAGTCTTTTTAAAACCTGTTATATGCATGTGAATTGCTGTTCACATTTAGCAGAATTACAAAAACAAAACTTTAAAATTCTCTATAAAACAAAATCAAATGTAAAATGCTATCACAGAGATATTTTATTTTAGCACATTGCAATACATGCTGTTATTTCTCCTTCCATTTACTTCAATTAGAAAAAAATTCTCACTGTGAAATAAAATAACTTATAGATAAATAACATAAAATTTGGATTTCTATGACTAGTATAAGGACCTGCACATTACATTCAGATTTTCAAGACTTAAAGTAGGATTTTACCTTTTTTTGTTGACCACCCAATGGCCCCTTTTTTTAACCTGTTCTCAATATTAACCAGTGTCGTCTTTTGCTTCATCAATCCTGAGTCTTACAGGTTTAAGGTAACATGCTATTAGATAGAACATATAATAATTTTGCAAAAGGAAGACAATTTAAAGTTGTGCTAAAACAATGAATTCTCCCAATGGGAGAATTCATTATCTACATGGGGAGAAAAAAGAGAATGTGGGACAAGAATTTAAAACTCAAGGTGAATGCGTTCACACTGTTAGAATGATACATTCAAAGAAAAATATTCCTTGACATCATCAGGATGAATACACAAGGATATGTAAATGTAAAATACATGGATGGATGACTGGTCAAAGCCAAGCACACACTTGTAAGCAAGGGCAACTATCAGGAAATGCATTCTCATTCACCTTTTTCCACTGCAAAGGATAATAATGCTAATTTAAAGGAGCTACCATACCTTAGTTACAAGTTTTAACTCATGAAATAAAGTTCGAGTATTTGTTGAGACATGCAATAATAGGAAATTCACGTAATTTACAGAAATTCATGTACTCTATAACACACTGACTGACAATGATGAGCCATGAAGGGAAAAGGAGTCCAGGTACTCAGGACACACGTAAAAGCACAAAGTAGAATATGCCACATAAATGGTAAATGTGCTTGCTTTTCTGTTCTTTTACTTTGGACATTAGTCATTAGCTTCTTTTTTTACAACAATATGCAAGCATGAGAATACACAGAAAAATATGTGAGCCATGATACTTTTCCTATCTATAAAGGAGAAGCACTGCCAAGCACACATAAAGTTACATTTGGTAAAAAAATAAATAAAAAGAAAAATCTGTCTTCACAAAGCAAGAAACTCAATTAACGTCATTTTAAAGGCATCTGTTTAAAGTCAATACTATAAATATATATCCAGATAATTTATATATTTTCTTTAGCATTGAAAATAAATTTCTGATCTAGAAATTTCTGACCTCCATTTGAAAATGCTTTTATTTTCTGCCTCCCCCAGCAATTATTAATATAGTTGCAAATGATTTTGATTGTAAATCAGGAAATTCACATTTAGAGAAGCATATATCCCACTTTTTAAAATGTAACAAAAGTGCTTCATATTCTACGAAGTTCTATAATTTACCAGGTTTGGACCATCAATTGTTCTTGATATCTTCTACCTTTTAATGTTCTTGAACATAAAAATTAACTGTAGACTTGTAATTTTAGAATGCTCCACCTTTCCAGGCAGTCAAATCTGACACAATGAGGTATGCCAAGCAGGTGGGTCTTTGTTGACCACTGGAAGTAAAGCTAAGGAAATTGCCCACAACACTCTAGAAATACTTTGCTCCATTTCCTTACCCCAAAATCTTAAATATTACTCCCAACAATTTTGCTAAGCAGGTTTTCTAACATACTATAATGTGTGTATTTCTGAGCAAACTTGGTATTACAAAACAAATTATTTCAAGTGGCAATTAATTATAATATCACCAAGTTGCATTTTCCCCTAATTAATGAGCCTGTAAAGGAGATGATAAATTTTATGGTAGAAATATTCCTTTTAGAATTCCTAGTTTCAATAAAGAAAAAAAAATCAGAAGGGCATCTATTATTCTTAAGTTACACGTAATGAACAGCTGTTACGTATAAATAGGGGCCATCTCTGGTCCCAAAGATTGCCAGATTTGAAGAACCATTGGACTGGTATAGCTACAGGCAGCCTTCCATGTGCACTGACAGCACCAACAATGCACTGATGAACATGCTCCTTTCGTGGAGCTTATAGTCTACTAAGGAATACAGGCATATAACAAGTATAACTGTGGCAATTAGGGATTACATAAAACTCTGAGAGAAAAATTCCAAGTTTTTGAAGACTGGGGACTGTAGTGCATCTCTAAACTTTTCTGCACACTTTCCTATGAGCAAAATGTATCTCATTCCAATTTGCCTTACCAAGGTCAAAAAAGTGATCAGTTTACGGCTCATGTCAAAGGGCCAGTCAGATGCCCTCTCTTGGCTTTCCTCCTAAGGGGATGGACCTGTGTACCTGGGTTCACAGCATATGATAATCACAGTGCCCCCTTCACCTTGTTACCTTTTCACAATGGAATACAGTGAGTCTCTATCTACTGAATTATGTTTCCAATTGAACCAACAGGCCCAAACACCTCCACCAATGGTTTTAGTCCATCACTCATCAGCAATACATAAAGTCATCCTGCCAATCTTCTGGTCAATTAAAGTTATCTACCTAGTTGTTAATCTACAAACAGGAAACTCCCTTATTCTTTTAAAATAGAACACAAAATATGCATTACACCTGAAACAAAGTTGTCCCATGAATAGATA